AGCACCCATAGGTGCCCCCCCAGGACAGTACCCCCCCCCCCACCCACCCATCGGTGCCCCCCACCCCGGTAACGCCCCCCATCCACCCCACCCCCTCCAGCACCCATAGGTGCCCCCCAGCACCCCCATTCCCCCCCCAGCACCCATAGGTGCCCCCCAGCCCCCCCGTTCTCCCACCCATTACCCACATTCCCCCTCCAGCACCCATAGGTGCCCCCCAGCACCCACATTCCCCCCCCAGCACCCTCATTGTCAGACCCATTACCCACATTCCCCCTCCAGCACCCATAGGTGCCCCCCAGCACTCCCGTTCTCCCCCCCCAACATCCACATCCCACCCCCCCAGCACCCATAGGTGCCCCCCAAGCCGGTAACGCCCCCCCTCCACCCCCCCCCCCAGCACCCATAGGTGCCCCCCAGGCCGCTACCCCCCCCCAGCACCCATAGGTGCCCCCCCAGGCCCGTACCCACCCCCACCCCCCCCAGCACCCATAGGTGCCCCCCAAGCCGGTAACGCCCCCCCTCCACCCCCCCCCCCCCAGCACCCATAGGTGCCCCCCAGGCCAGTACCCACCCCCCCCCAGCACCCATAGGTGCCCCCAGGCCAGTACCCACCCCCCCCAGCACCCATAGGTGCCCCCCAGGCCAGTACCCCCCACCCCCCTATAGCACCCATAGGTGCCCCCCCGGCCGGTACCATGGGGGGGGTCCGGGGGGGGTTCCATGTGTGCGATGAAGCTGCTGATGTAATCCCTGAGGAAGAGGAGGGCGTCCTGGGGGGGGGGGGGGGGGGGTGTGAGGGGGGGCACCCACGACCCCCCCCCCAGCACCCAGACCCCCCCCCCCCCCCCCAGCACCCTGACCCCCACCTGGTCAATGTGCAGGCGCAGCGGTGCCAGGGCCACCCTTAGGCAGCACTCGGGGACCCCCCCGGGGGGGGGCGGATGGGGGAGCACCCTCAGGGCCTTGACCCATAGCTGGCAAAGATGGGGGGCAGCGTTAGGATGGGGCACTTATGGGGCAGAGATATGGGGGGGGGAGGGGGGGGGTTTGCACTCACCGTGGGGGGCTGTGGGGGGGGTGCCCCCCTCGGATGTCGGCTCAGGAAAGGGGGGGTTCCCCCCCCCCCCCCCCGAGGCGGTCGCGCAGCTCCAGGTCCTGCACCAGCAGCACCAGGCGGGCAGTGGGGCGCTCGCCCGGCCCCACGGCTGCCCCACGGCTGCTGCCCCCCCCCACGGCCGCCCCCTCGCCTGCCCCACGGCTGCCCCACGGCTGAGCCTCGGCCGCCTCCTCAGCGTAGGTCTCGTGCTGGACGCTGACCTGGGGGGGGGGGGGGGGGAAGGATCCCATTGACCCCCATCAATCCCCCCCCCCCCCCAAGGACCTCCCACTGCCCCATAGCACCCCCCCAGTGACACCCCATAGCGACCCCATTGGCACCCCATAGCGACCCCATTGGCACCCTATAGCGACCCCATTGGCACCCTATAGCGACCCCATCGGCACCCTAGAGCGACCCCATGACCCCACATTGTCACCCCATAGTGACCCCCACGTGACCCCACACTGTCACCCCATAGTGACCCCCATGTGACCCCACTGTCACCCCATAGCGACCCCCACATGACCCCACATTGTCACCCCATAGCGACCCCCACATCACCCCACATTGTCACCCCATAGCGACCCCCCAGTTTTCCCTTTGTCACCCCATAGCGACCCCATTGTCACCCCATAGCGACCCCCACATGACCCCACATTGTCACCCCATAGCGACCCCCCAGTGTTCCCTTTGTCACCCCATAGTGACCCCCACGTGACCCCACACTGTCACCCCATAGTGACCCCCAAGTGACCCCATTGTCACCCCATAGCAACCCCATTGTCACCCCATAGTGACCCCCACATGACCCCATCGTCACCCCATAGCGACCCCATCGGCACCCCATAGCGACCCCCACGTGACCCCACATTGTCACCCCATAGCGACCCCCACATGACCCCACATTGTCACCCCATAGCGACCCCCCAGTCTTCCCTTTGCCACCCCATAGCGACCCCCACGTGACGCCACATTGTCACCCCATAGTGACCCCCACGTGACCCATAGCGACCCCATTGTCACCCCATAGCGACCCCCATGTGACCCCACTGTCACCCCATAGCGACCCCCACGTGACCCCACATTGTCACCCCATAGCGACCCCCACGTGACCCCACATTGTCACCCCATAGCGACCCCCACATGACCCCACATTGTCACCCCATAGCGACCCCCCAGTCTTCCCTTTGCCACCCCATAGCGACCCCCACGTGACCCCACATTGTCACCCCATAGCGACCCCCACGTGACCCCACATGTCACCCCATAGCAACCCCCACGTGACCCCACACTGTCACCCCATAGTGACCCCATGACCCCACATTGTCACCCCATAGCAACCCCCACGTGACCCCACATTGTCACTCCATAGCGACCCCCATGTGACCCCACTGTCACCCCATAGCGACCCCCCAGTGTTCCCTTTGTCACCCCATAGCGATCCCCACAATGACCCGTCACCCCATAGCAACCCCATTGTCACCCCATAGCGACCCCCACGTGACCCCATTTTCACCCCATAGCGACCCCCCAGTGTTTCGTCACTCCATAGCGACCCCCACGTGACCCCACATTGTCACCCCATAGCGACCCCCACAATGACCCCATTTTCACCCCAAAGTGACCCCTACAATGACCCCATTTTCGCCCCGTAGTGACTCCCCCAATGACCCCATTGTCACCCCATAACCCCCCCAATGACCCCATTGTCACCCCATAGCGACCCCATTGTCACCCCATAACGACCCCAGTCACCCCATAGCGACCCCCACAATGACCCCATTTTCACCCCATAGTGACTCCCCCAATGACCCCATTGTCACCCCATAGCGACCCCCACAATGACCCCATTTTCACCCCATAGTGACTCCCCCAATGACCCCATTCTTACCCCATAACCACCCCATTGTCACCCCATAGCACCCCCCCCCAGGCCCCAATGCCCCCCCCAGACCTCATCACCCCCTCTGTGCCCCCCAGGACCCTGTTACCCCCTATGGGCCCCCCCCAGGCCCTATGGGGCCCCCCCCATCCCCACCTTGCTGAGGTGCAGCTCCATCAGCAGGTCCTGCCTGCGCCCGGGCCCCCCCCGCGTGCGCCAGTGGGCGTGGCCAGAGGGGGCGTGGCCTCCGCGGCGTGGCCTGCGGGAGGGGCGGGGTCACGGTGAGCCACGCCCCTCCTGTATCCCCACACCTAATATGGGCAGCAGTGGGTGTGGCCTGATTTAGCCCCACCCACTCTCCCCCAATGACTCCTCCCCACTAAAGAAGGGGGCGTGGTTTGATTTAGCCACGCCCTGTCCCTTAGCCCCGCCCACTCCCAGATCTACATCCCCATTCAAGCCACGCTCTCTTTCCATATAAGGGATGTGGTCTACGATGTAGCCCCGCCCACGCTATTAAACCACGCCCCATTCCTTATTAGGACAGGTGTTATGTGATGTAGCCCCGCCCCGTTTCCCATTAGAGGATGTTGTCAATGCCTTAGCCCTACCTAAGCCACGCCCCCTCTCCTGTTAGGGGGTGTGACCTACACACTAACCCCGCCTTTTCCCACGCTAGGCCACACCCTTTTACCTATTATGGGCATACTCTATGCCTTTAGCCCCGCCTACCCCGCTTAAGCCACGCCCCTTCCCAGTTAGGGACCGAATTGTGCTTTAGCCCCTCCCACCACCAAGCCACGCCCCCTCTCCTGTTAGGGGGTGTGACCTCCACACTAAGCCCGCCTTCCCCCTTCCCTATTATGGGCATGCTCTAAGCCTTTAGCCCCGCCTACCATGGTTAAACCACGCCCCTTCCCCGTTAGGGGCCGAATTGTGCTTTAGCCCCTCCCATCACCAAGCCACGCCCCCTCTCCTGTTAGGGGGTGTGACCTCCACACTAAGCCCGCCTTCCCCTTTCCCTATTATGGGCATGCTCCAAGCCTTTAGCCCCGCCTACCCCGGGTAAACCACGCCCCTTCCCCGTTAGGGGCTGAATTGTGCGTTAGCCCCTCCCACCACCAAGCCACGCCCCCTCCCCTGCTAGGGGGCGTGGCCTATACAGGAACCGCTCTTAACCCTTACTAAGCCACGCCCCCCTTTCCCTTATACGGTCGTGTTTAGCCCCCCCCAGGGGGCGTGGTCTCACCTGGCGGCGGGGGCGTGGCCAGCGCCGAAGTCCCGCCCCCCGAAGAGCTGCCAGCGCAGGCTGACGTCCCGCAGGAGGAGCCGTTCCCGCGGGGGGGGGAGCCCCGGGGGGGGGCGCAGCCGATCCCGGCCCCCGCCGCTCCCCCCCCCGGGCCCGAAGTGCCCCTCCCGCAGGAGCAGCGGCCCCGGAGCCAACCAGCGGAGGGAGGGGGAGCCCTCGGGAGCCTGTGGGCACACACGTGATGCCATTGGTGACCCCCACGTGATGCCATTGGTGACCCCACGTGACGCCATTGGTGACCCCCACGTGACGTCCATCGGCGCCCCCACGTGACGCCATTGGCGCCCACACGTGACACCATTGGTGACCCCCACGTGATGCCATTGGTGACCCCCCACGTGATTGGTGCCACGTGACGCCATCGGTGACCCCCATGTGATGCCATTGGTGACCCCCACGTGACGCCATTGGTGACCCCCATGTGATGCCATTGGTGACCCCCACGTGATGCCATTGGTGACCCCCACGTGACGCCATTGGTGACCCCCACGTGATGCCATTGGTGACCCCCCACGTGATGCCATCGGTGACCCCCCACGTGATGCCATCGGTGCCCACACGTGATGCCATTGGTGACCCCACGTGACGCCATCAGCACCCCCACGTGATGCCATTGGCGCCCCCCCACGTGATGCCATTGGTGACCCCACGTGAGGCCATTGGTGACCCCCCACGTGATGCCATCGGTGACCCCCCACGTGATGCCATTGGTGACCCCCACGTGACGTCCATTGGCGCCCCCCCACGTGATGCCATCGGTGACCCACACGTGATGCCATTGGTGACCCCCACGTGACACCATTGGTGCCCCCCCACGTGATGCCATTGGTGACCCCCACGTGACGCCATCGGTGACCCCACGTGACGCCATCGGTGACCCCCCACGTGATGCCATTGGCGACACCCCACGTGATGCCCTTGGTGACCCCCCACGTGATGCCATCGGTGACCACACGTGACGTCCATTGGTGCCCCCCCACATGATGCCATTGGTGACCCCCACATGACGCCATTGGTGACCCCCACGTGACGCCATTGGTGACCCCCACGTGACGCCATTGGTGCCCACACGTGATGCCATTGGTGACCCCCCACGTGATGCCATCGGTGCCCACACGTGATGCCATTGGTGACCCCACGTGACGCCATCGGCGACCCCACGTGACGTCCATTGGCGCCCCCCCACGTGATGCCATTGGTGACCCCACGTGAGGCCATTGGTGACCCCCCACGTGATGCCATTGGTGCCCCCCCACGTGACGCCATCGGTGACCCCACGTGACGCCATCGGTGCCCACACGTGACGCCATTGGTGCCCACACGTGATGCCATTGGTGACCCCCCACGTGATGCCATCGGTGACCCCCACGTGATGCCATCGGTGACCACACGTGATGCCATTGGTGACCCCCACGTGACGCCATTGGTGACCCCCCACGTGATGCCATTGGTGACCCCCCACGTGATGCCATTGGTGACCCCCACGTGATGCCATCGGTGACCCCCCACGTGAGGCCATTGGCGCCCCCACGTGATGCCATTGGTGACCCCCACGTGACGTCCATTGGTGCCCCCACGTGACGCCATCGGTGCCCACACATGACGCCATCAGCGCCCACACGTGACTCCATTGGTGCCCCCACGTGACGCCATCGGCGACCCCACATGACGCCATCGGCGACCCCACGTGATGCCATTGGTGACCCCCACGTGACGTCATCTGCGACCCCACGTGACGCCATCGGCGACCCCACGTGACACCATCAGCACCCCATAGAGACCCCATCGGCACCCCATAGCAACCCCATCGGCACCCCCACGTGACGCCACCAGCACCCCCACGTGACACCATTGGTGCCCCATAGAGACCCCATTGGAACCCCATAGAGACCCCATTGGAACCCCATAGAGACCCCATCAGCACCCCATAGAGACCCCATTGGAAGCCCACAGCGACCCCATTGGAACCCCATAGAGACCCCATTGGAATCCCATAGAGACCCCAGCGGCACCCCCACGTGACACCATCGGCACCCCATAGAGACCCCATTGGCACCACACAGAGACCCCCCCCACGTGACCCCATCAGCTCCCCATAGCGACCCCATCGACACCCCATAGAGAGCTCATTGGAACCCCATAGAGACCCCCCCCACAGTGACCCCATTGGCACCCCATAGCGACCCCATTGTCGCCCCATAGAGACCCCATTGGCACCCCAGAGACCCCCACGTGACCCCACTGTCACCCCACAGAGACCTCATTGGAACCCCATAGAGACCCCATTGGCACCCCATAGAGACCCCATTGGCACCCCATAGAGACCCCCCCACAGTGACCCCACTGTCACCCCATAGAGACCCCCATAATGACCCCACTGTCACCCATAGCGACCCCCCCGCGGTGACCCCAATGTCACCCCACAGCAACCACCCCATTGACCCCATTCACAACCCCTAGTGACCCCCACACTGACCCCATTGTTACCCCATAGCGACCCCAATGTCACCCCATAGAGACCTCATTGGAACCCCATAGAGACCCCATTGGCACCCCATAGAGACCCCCCCATAGTGACCCCACTGTCACCCCATAGCAACCCCATTGTCACCCCATAGAGACCCCCATAATGACCCCACTGTCACCCATAGCGCCCCCCCTGCAGTGACCCCATTGTCACCCCACAGCAACCACCCCATTGACCCCATTCACACCCCCTAGTGACCCCCACACTGACCCCATTGTTACCCCATAGCGACCCCACTGGCACCCCATAGAGACCCCATTGTCACCCCATAGAGACCCCCATAATGACCCCACTGTCACCCATAGCGCCCCCCCTGCAGTGACCCCATTGTCACCCCACAGCAACCACCCCATTGACCCCATTCACACCCCCTAGTGACCCCCACACTGACCCCATTGTTACCCCATAGCGACCCCATTGTCACCCCACAGCAACCACCCCATTGACCCCATTCACACCCCCTAGTGACCCCCACACTGACCCCATTGTCACCCCATAGCGACCCCACTGGCACCCCATAGCGACCCCACTGGCACCCCATAGAGACCCCCCCACAGTGACCCCACTGTCACCCCATAGCGACCCCATTGTCACCCCATAGCGACCCCATTGTCACCCCATAGAGACCCCCATAATGACCCCACTGTCACCCATAGCGACCCCCCTGCAGTGACCCCATTGTCACCCCACAGCAACCACCCCATTGACCCCATTCACACCCCCTAGTGACCCCCACACTGACCCCATTGTTACCCCATAGCGACCCCATTGTCACCCCACAGCAACCACCCCATTGACCCCATTCACACCCCCTAGTGACCCCCACACTGACCCCATTGTTACCCCATAGCGACCCCAATGTCACCCCACAGCAACCACCCCATTGACCCCATTCACACCCCCTAGTGACCCCCACACTGACCCCGTTGTCACCCCATAGCGACCCCATTGTCACCCCACAGCAACCACCCCATTGACCCCATTCACACCCCCTAGTGACCCCCACACTGACCCCATTGTCACCCCATAGCAACCCCAATGTCACCCCACAGCAACCACCCCATTGACCCCATTCACACCCCCTAGTGACCCCCACACTGACCCCGTTGTCACCCCATAGCGATCCCAATGTCACCCCATAGAGACCCCATTGGCACCCCATAGAGACCCCCCCATAGCGACCCCAATGTCACCCCACAGCAACCACCCCATTGACCCCATTCACACCCCCTAGTGACCCCCACACTGACCCCGTTGTCACCCCATAGCGACCCCAATGTCACCCCATAGCAACCACCCCATTGACCCCATTCACACCCCCTAGTGACCCCCACACTGACCCCCTTGTCACCCCATAGCGACCCCATTGTCACCCCACAGCAACCACCCCATTGACCCCATTCACACCCCCTAGTGACCCCCACACTGACCCCATTGTCACCCCATAGCGACCCCATTGTCACCCCACAGCAACCACCCCATTGACCCCATTCACACCCCCTAGTGACCCCCACACTGACCCCGTTGTCACCCCATAGCGACCCCATTGTCACCCCACAGCAACCGCCCCATTGACCCCATTCACACCCCCTAGTGACCCCCACACTGACCCCATTGTTACCCCATAGCGACCCCACTGGCACCCCATAGAGACCCCATTGGCACCCCATAGAGACCCCCCCACAGTGACCCCACTGTCACCCCCGACCCCATTGTCACCCCCACATAATGACCCCATTGTCACCCCATAGCAGTGACCCCATTGTCACCCCACAGCAACCACCCCATTGACCCCATTCACACCCCCTAGTGACCCCCACACTGACCCCATTGTCACCCCATAGCGACCCCACTGGCACCCCATAGAGACCCCATTGGCACCCCATAGAGACCCCCCCACAGTGACCCCATTGGCACCCCATAGCGACCCCATTGTCACCCCATAGCGACCCCACTGGCACCCCATAGAGACCCCCCCAGTTGTCACCCCATAGCGACCCCATTGTCACCCCACAGTGACCCCCATAATGACCCCACTGTCACCCATAGCCACCCCCCCGCAGTGACCCCATTGTCACCCCACAGCAACCACCCCATTGACCCCATTCACACCCCCTAGTTACCCCCACACTGACCCCATTGTCACCCCATAGTGACCCCAATGTCACCCCATAGAGACCCCATTGGCACCCCATAGAGACCCCCCCATAGCGACCCCAATGTCACCCCACAGCAACCACCCCATTGACCCCATTCACACCCCCTAGTGACCCCCACACTGACCCCATTGTTACCCCATAGCGACCCCAATGTCACCCCATAGAGACCCCATTGTCACCCCATAGCGACCCCAATGTCACCCCATAGCGGTGTCCCGAGTGACCCCACTGTCACCCCATAAGGACCCCCCCAATACCCCCATTAACCCCCCTTGGAAGCCCCCATTTCAGGGTCCCCCCCTGGCACCCCCCCCCCCCCCCAACACCCCCCCATTGCCCCCCCCCCACACTCACAGGGCTCGGGGGGGCCTCCAGGATGCAGAAGCCGTCAGCATCAGGGCTGCCACTGCCCCCCAGTGGGGCTGGGGGGGGCACAGGGGGGGCCGGGGCAGCCGCTATGGGGCAGCCATGGGGCCGGGGCCCCCCCTCGCCTGGGAACAGGTACATGGAGACCGGAGGGGGCGGTGGGGGCGGTGGGGCCTCCTCTATGGGGTGCAGAGTGGGTAGGGGGGGGGGGGTTGAGCCCCATGGCAGCGCCAGTGGACCCACATCTGCCCCCCAAGTGCTTGTGCCCCCCCCCAAGCCGTACCTGGGGGCTGTGGGGCGCCGTGGGGCAGCCGTGGGGCATCGCGCAGGGCGTCCGTCAGGTCCTGCTGGTTGATGGTGGCCGTGGGGGGGACCTGATGGAAGGGGGGGGCACAGCAATGGGGTTCTCACAGCCCCACTTGGGGGTCACAGGGACGGGTTCAGTGGGGCAGAGGAAAACTCACCTGGGGGTCCCCATGGGCTGGGGCAGGGCCGGGCGTGGGGCCGGGTGTGGGGCGCGCTATGGGGCGCGCTGTGGGGCTGGAGAGATGCTGCAGGAGCTGGGCGATGGCGGCGGCGCTGTCGGGACAGGTCCGGGCTCGGAGGCGGGCGGGCGCCAGGCGCAGCTCATCCCGAGGACAGGGCTGGAGGTGTGGGTCAGGCTGCCCCATAGCGCCCCATAGCACCCCATAGAGCCCCACAGCATCCCATAGAGCCCCATAGCACCCCATAGAGCCCCACAGAGCCCCATAGAGCCCCATAGCACCCCACAGAGTGCCCCACAGTGCCTCATAGAGCCCTATAAACCCCACAGCGCCCCATAAAGCCCCATGGGGCCCCATAGCGCAACACAGCCCCACAGAGCCCCATAGAGCCCCATAGAACCCCACAGCACCCCATAAAGCCCCATGGAGCCCCATAGCGCAACACAGCCCCACAGCACCCCATAGAGCCCCATAGAACCCCACAGCACCCCATAAAGCCCCATGGGGCCCCATAGCGCAACACAGCCCCACAGAGCCCCATAGAGAAGCCCCATAGCACCCCACAGTGCCTCAGCACCACAGTGCCTCATAGAGCCCTATAAACCCCACAGCGCCCCATAAAGCCCCATGGGGCCCCATAGCGCAACACAGCCCCACAGCGCCCCATAGAGCCCCATAGAACCCCACAGCACCCCATAAAGCCCCATGGGGCCCCATAGCGCAACACAGCCCCACAGAGCCCCACAGAGCCCCATAGAGCCCCACAGAGCCCCATAGAGTGCCCCACAGTGCCTCAGCACCACAGTGCCTCATAGAGCCCTATAAACCCCACAGCGCCCCATAAAGCCCCATGGGGCCCCATAGCGCAACACAGCCCCACAGCGCCCCATAGAACCCCACAGCACCCCATAAAGACCCACAGCGACCCATAGAGCCCCATAGCACCCCATGCCGTCCCATAACGCCCCACTGAGCCTCCTGTGCCCCATAGCAGTTCCCTCTGCCCCAGGCTTGCTCCCTGCACCCTATGGCCTCCCTCTGCCCCATGGAGCAGTCTCTGCCCCATAGCAACTCACACAGCCCCCCAGGGCCCACTCTGCCCCATGACCTCTCTCTCAGCCCCCCAACCCCATCTCAGCGCCCCAGCCCCATGGCTACCCCACAGCTCCCATCTCAGCCCCCAGTCCCCTCTGCCCCACGGCTGCCCCCCAACTCCCACTCTGCCCCATGGCTGCCCCATGACCTCGCTCTCAGCCCCCCAACCCCATCTCAACCCCCAAGCCCCATGGCTACCCCCCAGTCCCCTCTGACCCACGGCTGCCCCCCCACTCCCACTCTGCCCCATGGCTGCCCCATGACCTCTCTCTCAGCCCCCCAACCCCCATCTCAACCCCCCAGCCCCATGGCTACCCCACAGCTTCCATCTCACCCCCCAGTCCCCTCTGCCCCATGGCTGCCCCCCAACTCCCACTCTGCCCCATGGCTGCCCCATGACCTCGCTCTCAGCCCCCCAACCCCATCTCAACCCCCAAGCCCCATGGCTACCCCCCAGTCCCCTCTGCCCCACGGCTGCCCCCCAACTCCCACTCTGCCCCACGGCTGCCCCATGACCTCTCTCTCAGCCCCCCAACCTCCATCTAAACCCCAGCTCCCAAGCCCCATGGCTACCAGATGAAGTCCCCTATGCGGGGGGGGGGGTGTGGGCTGCCCCCCCACTCCCACTCTGGGGCAGGGGGGGGTGTGGCTGTGTCAATGGGATCTCTCTCTCAGCCCCCCAACCCCATCTAACCCCCAAGGGGGTGTGGCTACCCCCAGTCCCCTCTGGGGCGGGGGGGGGTGTGGGGTGTGGCTGCCCCCCAACTCACCGGGCTCTGCCCATCCCCGTTGCCCTTCCACGAGCTCAGCACCAGCTCCAGGAAGTCGACGTCGAGGACGCAGATGAAATCTATGGGGCAGGGGGGGGGTGTGGGGTGCGTGTCAATGGGATCTATGGGGCGGGGGGGGTGGGGTGTGTGTCAATGGGTGTGTGTCAATGGGATCTATGGGGGGGGTGGGGGGGTCAATGGGTGTGGGGTGTGTGTCAATGGGATCTATGGGGCGGGGGGGGGGTGTGGGGTGCGTGTCAATGGGATCTATGGGGCGGGGGGGGTGTGGGGTGCGTGTCAATGGGATCTATGGGGCGGGGGGGGGTGGGGGCTGTGGGGTGCGTGTCAATGGGATCTATGGGGCGGGGGGGGGGTGTGGGGTGCGTGTCAATGGGATCTATGGGGCGGGGGGGGGTGTGGGGTGTGTGTCAATGGGATCTATGGGGCGGGGGGGGGTGTGGGGTGTGTGTCAATGGGATCTATGGGGCGGGGGGGGGGTGTGGGGTGCGTGTCAATGGGATCTATGGGGCGGGGGGGGGGGGGGTGTGGGGTGCGTGTCAATGGGATCTATGGGGCCGGGGGGGGGTGTGGGGTGTGTGTCAATGGGATCTATGGGGCAGGGGGGGTGTGGGTGTGTGGGCGGGGGGGGGGTGTGGGGTGTGTGTCAATGGGATCTATGG